ACATGCCAAGGAGCAATTAAATAATTAAAATTATAAAGGATTAAAAAATATATATATAAAAATGGAAAATATCGCACTTCTGACAATCGGTGCAAGTGTGTGGGCTAAATTTGGAGAATCCGTGCTTCTCGCATGGACAACTGTATGTGGCTGGCTCACGCGTCGGGAAACCTTCTGATTTATTTGTGTACGCACCAGACGGAAAAACAAAAAATATCATGTATCCACNTTTTATTGGATCAAGTACAGGTGAAGCAAATGATTGTTTTTATTATTATTAACACTAATTTACTAATTTACTTCTTCTCAAATGTTTAGAAGAAAAATATACGATTTAATTTATGATTGTATAATATTTTAAATTATATATTATAATTTTTAAATCAACTTCTATTTATTTATAATTACTATTTTTATCAATAATCTTTATTACGGAAATTTTAAGATTTATTCGATTGTCACGCGATTCTTCAATAACATTTACTTCATATAACCCAGACATAAATTTTATGATGTAATTTAGCAGCAATTCTTAGCAATAAAATCAATGTATTGGACAAATTAAATTTTAAAATATTATATTACATTTGATGTAAACTCTATAAATATATTGTGCAAATATAAATAAAAATGTATTTCCTATATAAAAGATGCATTTTCTGATATAACTTTAATTTATATAATTTACATTTATACTGAGAGTTATGTAAATAACTCGCATTAGTTTACTACGGGTTCGGACCTGTCCATTTGCTGCACAGGTCCGAACCCACGACGAACTGACATTGTTTTGTGTTTATGTATTCGTTGGACAAAGTTATTGTTGTAGTTAATATTCATATGTTAGACAGAAGTGAATATTTGAATAAATAAAATATATTATTTACTCATTATTGTGTAGTTTATTACTTATTTATTGTGTATATTATTTTATAATTTTGAAATTAAAATTAATTTCGTAATTCACACCATTTCCAGTACACACTGAAATTTTTTTATATATTAATCGGCTTATCTTGCCTCAGTTTCCACATTTGATTTTAGTATTTTATTAGTGTCTAGAGTCAAATTACAGCGAAATGAATAATTTTTAATATATGACATAGAAATATAATATATTCTTTACTTTTTAAATCTTAAAACAATGCACTTAGTCAAATAGCTCCCTATAAGTGGCTAATGGATGGAATCGAAGACGGCTGCAGAGCATGCATATACGTGGACTGCCAAATCCCCAGGGTGCCGATACCTGTCAATGTCAAATACCTCTTTTGTCGCATCACTAGTATATCTCAAAGGATACGACAGGGTTGTTGTAGATTTTAAACGTTTCTCACTATAGCTGTAAAAATCTAAATATGTTAAACTTAATAGTCCTTTGTTTTCTAACTAATTCGTTTTAGGACCAAGTGTCCTCAGAAATTTCCAAAATTTACAACTTTTTGGTCACTCTCATTGAACTGGAAAAATTTCTGTCTTTATTACATTAATAATACAAATAAATTGGTCTCCACTGTACTCGGCTAAAAATGGTTCGATTTAGCTTTTGTTTAAATAAAATTTCGGCTCTTTCATCAGAGTTTTGTTTATGTCTCCAATTCCCTAATCGCTTTAATTATTTAACTACTTCTAAAGTAGAAATAAGTTGAAACCAGTTACTTTGTACTCGAATATTTGTAGTCTCAGGAAAAAAGTGGAAAGACAAATTTTAATGACAAACGGATACATAAATTGTAAATTTAAGGAAAATAAATTCTAGAGCTTTTTCTGTACCTTGTGCATCTCTCTCATTCATTAAATTTAGTTGTAAATGATGCTGTCNAGAAATAAGTTGAAACCAGTTACTTTGTACTCGAATATTTGTAGTCTCAGGAAAAAAGTGGAAAGACAAATTTTAATGACAAACGGATACATAAATTGTAAATTTAAGGAAAATAAATTCTAGAGCTTTTTCTGTACCTTGTGCATCTCTCTCATTCATTAAATTTAGTTGTAAATGATGCTGTCAAAATAACAGTTAATTTTTTAACATTATACAAGAATTGTACATGTTTTTTCTACATCCCCTTAGAGATGGGATATACAAAATCGTAATATCACTGGTTTAACATTGAAATCTGTGAGTGATATAAAATCGGAGTGTGGAATAAAAATATCAAATATTTTAATGCATTTTTTAAAACTTCTGTCAACTATACAGAACTATCATAAAAACATACCAGTAAATTCTTATTGGTTGGGTTAAGTTATAAATCTACTCGTGATTCACGTAATTGGGTGAGGGCAGCCAAATACAGTGGAAACCCGGTTAACGAACGTCCTGGTTAACGACCAAATCGGTTAACGAACTTTTATTTTGCAAAAATTTTGTCTCGGATAGCGAACAAAATTCGGATAATGAACGGTATTTTGTGTCAAATTTTAGTTGGTGTTAGGCATGTGCGAGTTAAGCATTGCTTTTCCGAGTGTTTGTGCTATACTTCTTTTTTCAGTTTTGTGATTTATATATTTAATCAATATGGCATCAAAGAAAGAAAAAAGTCATAGTGGCAATAGAAAACGTGCTATCGCATTTGAGAACGATTTTGATTAAAAGAGTAAGACAATCAACTTTAGATCAATTTCTTGTTCCTTACGGAAAGAGTTTGTTTGTTTGTTGTTAAGTTATGGCAATGCAACACTTAGGCAATCTGCCAAGGGGAATGCCTTCTGGGAGGTGTTTTTAAGGGAAACTGGCCCCTATTTAGGCGTTACAGACGTGGAGAAAACCCGGAAAACTCCACGTGGCAGCCCGTTTGAACGAGGTGCGAACCCACGAACTCCCCCGTGTTCAAGGTACGAAGACCACTTAGCCACTGGTGGGGGTTTTTTTTTTTACCGAAAGAGACTTCGACTGGAAGAATCTTCCAATGAAGTGCTACCCGTTATTTTTTGGAGGGGATTCCCCTTCTAAGCATTAAGGTTCGTACATCTCCACTTTTCTGCCACCAACTACAACAAACGAAGATATGTACAGTGCTATTTTATTAAACAAAGTTTACATGTTTGTTGCTGTAACGATAAATACTACGTTCTCTTACATTTTCATCAAAGAAAATTACTGTATATTACAAATAAAATCACAAAAATTTCGGAGACTAGAACGGATTAATTGCATTTGCATTAATTTCTATGGGAAAAATTGCTTCGGTTAACGAATGGAGTCGCGGAACGGATTAAGTTCGTTAACCGGGGTTCCACTGTATCTAGCAGGCAGGCAGCTAACAGCCCAGAATCGGTCCTGGATAGAATAGGATGCGTTATACATGTAGCATCCACCCAAGTTCCTAGGCTTCTACCATCTAAACCGGGTGAGGTTGGTACTCTGTAAAGTGCATGTGCAAATCTGGCTTTTTGGATGCTGACAATACAGCGCTTCCACTCCACCACTAATATTCGAATATACAATAGCAATCTTATCTTTTTGCTCACATGTAGTATAGAAATTTGTAATAAGATATGTAATGCAGTTATAATAAAATATTGTGTGATTATTTTCATATAATTGAAAGTAATATGTATTTATTTTTTAGAAAATACAAGGGAAGCAGCGCATCCACCACTTCCAATGACGGCATGCCACTGATAGTTTTAAATCCTTCCTCCTCCCAATTATATTCAAATATAAGAAATTCAGATTAAAAAATTTAATAATACAAGTTCAAAATTTGTTTTATGACCAAAATAGTTTAATACTTTAGAAAAATAATACTTTAAAAATATTTATCAAAATTAATAAGAGTTTACAACAACTTACTTAAAAGGATAACCTCAGTGATTAAAATTATAAAAATAAATAAACAAAAATCAAATGTGATCATTTATATAATATAATTAAGTTTAATCTTTTATAATTTTGGTCATCATTCTTTTACATCTCATAAAAATATGAAAATATATTTCAAAATAATTATAAAGTAACAACCTTTTTTCCTTTAACCTTTATGAACAGTTTTTTGTCATATTTTTTCCTGAAGAGAGCCAATAAAATAGTGGCTGAAAATGTTCAAACATTAAATATTTGTGTATTTATTTGCTGGAAATTTGTGTTTAGGTTTTATTATGTTTGTATATAGTTTCAGTTTACTCATGCAGTTGTTGGTTTTTGTTTTAAAATGATTATATTTAATAATTAGATAATGATAAAGATTAATCAGAAAAGAGGTTTATAGTGTATATAAATAAAAAGAACACTTTTAGAGTAAATTGATAATAAATAAAGTGTCAGATGTACATTATTTCTAAGCATATTCATGATTATTAAACAGGGACTACTTCTCATTAAACATATTAAGTTTTTTGTACTCAAGACACAGGGAATATATGCTTATATTGCACCAACCATATTATAATAATATTTGATATCTTCATTACAGATAAAATGATTTTTAACAAGCAATTCTTTCAAATGGGAATCACAAAAATTTCTGGATGCAAATCTATGCTCTATAAAAAATGGCACCATATTTCTCAACAGAATTTTTGCTGCAGGTTCTGTTTCCATTGTATCATATGCAATCAGGCATTGTTATAGAAGGTAAACATAATATAACAACAAAAACTTTCCATGCCATGTAAAACTACATCTATACAAAATAATTTTCCAAATAATCACCATGTTAAACTGCTGCAACTGTATTCTTTCTGCACATATGCTTCAAATCACGAGTGAACACTATAACTCACTATCATATTTCAAAAGCATTTAAAATTTCAATGAATTTGATATCTTAACTATTAAGATTTGTTAACTTACTTTTCGATCCACCTCAGTTACTTGTAAATGATGATCTAATCACATATAATATTATTCAATTATAATTTTAAAATTTTATATATTAAAATGTTTTTATTTATAAAATACTTTTTAATCACAAATATCAATTATCTGCAAAAATTTATTAATTATTTTTAAAATAAGTTTTATAATACAATTTTCAAGTAAAAAAAAATATCTTTACCTGATCACATATCATATCCCATTTCTTTACATCATCATATTGTTTTAATAGCTTTGCTTTATCTGGAGGAAGATCCATTGATGCCTAAAAGAAATATAAATCTATATCAATATATAAATAAATAAATATTAAATTCTAGTTTGTTTATATAGAGTATTAATTAATATAAAATATCTAAAATTGAAACAGCTATCAACTTAAAATCAATCATATAATTGTTATAATATATATTATATGAAAAATTTATTTAAATGAATTAAAATTGCAATGGTATATCCATCTACAGGCATGGCCAAAAGTTAGAAACATGGAATAAAATATTATTATATGTTTCCAAACTTTTGTCCATGAATGTATTATATCCAACAAACAAAAAATATCTTAAATATTATTACAAGTACTGTACTATATATGCCATTCCAAAGCTAATTGCCTCCATATAAACTTTGGAAATGAGGCTTGAGAATGTTTAGAATCAGTATAGAAGTAATTTTTATATGAAATATGTTCTTATTTTAAAACTTTGTCAAAATAAAATTCTGTATGTATTCACTTTAAAATTCTATATATATTAAAATTCAATTTAAAAAAAAACAATAAAAATAACAGAAATACTAATATGAAACAATTTTATATAAAATTTAATATAATGAACTAATAAGGAAAAATGATGATCTGATAATACTGATTGTTTCTTGTAACCACAGATGTCATGATCTTTGGTTACTTAATTATCAACTGTGTGTGATAATTAAGAGACAAATAACCTATATTATAGCAAACAAGAAACAATAAAACAATAATTGCTGTCATATACTATCTAGCAGATATTATACATATTAACAATTGCTATCTAATATTCTCAAAATCTATTTTCACTCCAATGGACACCTTAAAATAAGCAAATTTATTCTGTTGTTTCCAAAATCTGTTATATTTGTTACATCTGTAAAATTAATGAGCAACAATATATAAAAATTTTGAAATTACCATACAAAAATATTTTAAGGCATTTATATTTATCTGTCTTGAAACTAAAATAATAAATTTAAAAAGATTCATTCAACTTTGACTTATCCTTGATATAGAATACTATAAATCCTTGACCATCAACTTTGATTAATAAGTTTAAAATTGCCAACTAGCAGATCTGAATTTTAATAATTAAGACAAATTCAATATACTGGAAAACTGAATAAAGCTGACCTAAAACCAGTTTTAAAAATTTGCTTATTTTATGCAAGAGATCATCTATTAATTGTGTGTACAGTTTAAGAGATAAAGGTATCAAGAAAAATATATCACTGTACACAAAAGTATATCACAAATGGAAATATTTAAAGCAGACTGCTAGGGTCTATCTATCAATTTTAAAGAAGAAAAACAAATCTCAAAGACATGGTATGATGTATTTGATTTGACATTATAGTAAGGTGACCAGATTTTAACATTGATGAAGTAGGACAAAATTGACAGGGGGTAATTGTCTTGTTGAAAAACATTGTTCTAGACCAGTGGTTTTCAATCTTTGTGAAGTTGGGGAACACTAAACTTTGACATTTTTTTCTGCGGAACACTTACAATACAACAGCTTTAAAGTAGGGGTGGCAAACCTTTTTGAAATCAAGCACACTCAGTCTGGTAGATGACAAAATTGGCATTTGCTGATTACATTCCCATACAAAACTTATTTTACATTGTATTGATTTTTCTTTTGCAAAAATTTTTAATTGTATATTTGATTTTTCGCAGAACACTTGATGTGGCTTCACGCTGCTCTAGAATCTAGAGCAGCAATGTCTTGTTGAAAAACATTGCTCTAAAGTCTAGAACTGTGGTTCTCAATCAGTGGTCTGCAGATCATGGCTGCTCCATGAAGCCACTTCAGGTGTTCTGCAAATACATACTGTATATATATATGTATGTATTTAGTCAGTATGTTTACAACAACAAATGTTTTTAAATTGGTGTTTTGGTACAATGAAATTATATTTCCTTAAATTTGCCTTATATATGTAATAAATGTCAAACAATAGACACATTCTTAAGTTACAACAGTCATGTTTCCAATAAACAATAAGAAATTTTATTGTTTTCTTTAAATTCTTTGGAAATAAGCCTAATAAAATTTAAATTAGAATTACACGTGCTTATAGATTTAAAATTTCAAATCATTCCATGTTTAGATTGTTAACGGGTTTAATTATGTTTTACTGTGGAAGCTATTTGATTATAGTTAGCCACCAAGAAGCAGTTATGTTCTGTACATCATTTCAAAATTGGATGACTGTTAGTTACTGGTTTTTTTTTTCTTTGACCTGGCAGCCATTTTTAATAAAGTTATTCTGTTTACCTATCTCTCCTAATTAAGTTGTGGAAAATTCTTAAAGAAATTTTGGAAATTGAGAGAAAAAATTTGAATTTTTATGAATGAAAATGACCAGAATGTTGCTATATTATATGATGGACAGTAGCTTTTGGATTTATGTTTTCTTATAAATATCACAATGAAATTAAACGAACTTAATAACCAGCTTCAAAGTGAAAATAAATTAATCACACTTATCAAAATGTAGAAGCATTCACAAAACTCAATTAGTAATTTCATGAAAGTCAAAAACTCGTCCAAAATTATATCGTCTTAAATTACATAAATTTAGTAGTGACAAAAAACATTTTTCTAGATATGCACAAGAAATTACTAATTTACTATAAGAATTTCAATAAAGATTTTCATATTTAAAAATTTATGAGAATATATTTAATATTTTCTTATGTCCATTTGGCATTGTTGTGGAACAAGCTCCAACAAATTTGCAGATAGATTTGATAGATCTCCATTATCTTCTGAATTGAAATATATGTTTGAGGCCAATAACAAAGTTCAGTTTTATACAAAATATGTCTGTAATGATAAATTCCCTAACCTAAAAAAATGCAATGAGCGTTACAGCTACAATGGTAATTACCTATCTTTGTAAATCTTTTTTCTCAAACTTGAAGATTGTTAAATGTAAAAGTCGTAATAGATTGACCGATATAAATTTAAAAATCCAACTACATTGTACAACATCAAAAATACCTGTTGATATTAAAAAAATAAGTGAAAAAATTGTAAAGCAAGTTTCACATTAAAACACGTACAAAATACTGTATAATTGAATATGTTTTGTTGTAAACAAATGTGCGTGGCCCACAGTGTATTTTTATTTTTGTAACCGATAAACAATTTTGGTTGGACAACACTGTTCTAGAGCAGTGATTCTCAACTGGTGATACATGTACTCCTAGGAGTACGAGCATAAATTGAAAGGGTACATCTAACTTTCATTATAAAATGGCGTATGTTAATCAATTTGCTGTAAATTATTAACACAAGAAAAAAGAAATGACAAAAACTTGCTTTAAAATATCCCAGTATGAACACCAATTTCCCTTTTAACAGTCTAAACCAGGGGTGGCCAACCTTTTTAGCAGGCGGGCCAAATTTCAGAAATAATATTTCCTGCCGGGCCACGCACCTAATTTTTTTTGTTAATTTAAGTAAACAAGCAAGCGTGCTACAGCTTCAACCACATCGTTGCTTTCCAGTAGGTGAGATCGTGGTCAAACACTTGCCTGGTTTAATGTAAAAANATTTTCTGAGGAAACACTCGTACTTATTTTTTTTAACCCCATTCCCGATAACCTGGCATTTTCACAAACTCGGCCACCCTTCGGTCCACATTAGGCCGAGTTTTCGAGGTTCTACTGTAATAAGTAAATTTACTATCTGACAAGAATTTCATTAAATAGAAGAATAAATTCACATTAATTTACTATTTTTTAATATTTTTATTTTTATAAAATTTATAATACTGTTTTTCTCAATTCTAGAACACACTTTTTTATGGACTTTTCTGGTCTCAAAAATTGAGGTGCACATTAAAATCAAGCACAAAGTCAACTTAATACAGTGTTGTTTGTATCTTTATCTCTTTACATTGTTTAATAATTCTCATGTATTATGTTATCAGTATAGACATGGTATGAATCTCTTCCACTATTTCAGTTTTAATTTTGGTTTTGAAATGGTTCGGTGGTCTTTTGAATTACAGCATACCAAATGAACAATGTCTAGCAGACAAGTCTTCTATACAGCTGTGTTTAAGTGGAGAGCTATCCACTATGTTGAAGAACATATATCCACTATGTTTAGGAACATATATAGATATTTTGATGTGATACTACATACCTGGTAAATTTTATACTTGTGCATACCAAAATGAAATATTACCGTTAAAATGTTGATTATACAGTAATTTTGACTGATTTTGTATTGATTACATATTCTCTGTATCTAATAATGGAGACATAAATGAATACATTCAAAAATATGGATATCATGAAGCACTATAAAATATGAAAATAAAATGTTTTTCAAAAACTTATTACCATTTAATACATGAACTTTTTACAGCAGTGTTTTTGGTGATATAGGATGTGCACATAGGATTTTTGAGAATCAAAACTCATAAAAGTTAGCTTGATTTTGCAAGCTAACTTTTATGAGTTTTGATTCTCAAAAATCAGGTGTGCATTCAATTTGATGGCTAGAATCAAGAAAACATGGTGTAGTTATTAAACTCTTATTACTATTATAGTATTTCTCAGAATAAGAATGGAGTCAATAGGCTGGATCCTGAATGTGCATTGCTCTACCAATGTTGCTAAACAATAAAGCTAGAGCAACAGTAAGCAATAAAATAAAACAAAGTAAACACTTTAAAATTCAATCATCACATCATGTTTACATTGGGTCCACTAAATGTTCTACGAGATCCAGAATGCAAAAACATATCTCAGATGTGCAACATGCTAGAACTTCCACAGCCCTCTCTACCTAAACAGAGGATCCAGAAATTGTGGTGAACTTCACGCTGGCCAAACGTCTCCTCACAACTTCGCACACAGAACACCTCAGATGGTTGGAGGCCATAGAAATCTTTAAAGCTAACTTTGCATCATCTTGTGTAAATTTTAAGGAGCAAATAATGTTGTTGATGGCCTGACAGACTCTACTTAACATGATGGTATAGTCATTG